TATGCATTGTTCTTACCCATACATCTTTCTCTAGTCTTAAATGGATAGCAATACATGGACCTTCAATCCACATTCTTGTCGTTAGTTTGTTCTCTAGATTCTCAATCGGGGCTAATAATGGCATAGAAAACAACAACCTATAAACAAATTAACAAATTAAACCAACATTTAATAATCTAACAAATGAAACAAAAAATTTTGTTTGATTTACGAACCTTTTATTTTCGGCATTTGTTTATTTTATCTTAATTTATAGGCAAAAACAGTTTCAAGCATATATTTAGAGATCTTTAACTTTTCTCCACCGTGAGAAGAAGCACTTGAGAACTTGATAGTGTTACTCACAATTTTTTTTTGCAACTAATAATATCCTGCTTAAAGAAGCTTTTGCTATTGGTGAGGTAGTCGTTGCTGCTACTTGAATCTGACAAAAAGAACACATATACTGAAAAAATGAGAAACCCCGGTATTTGTAGCTGTACAAGGAGCAAAAGCAAACCAAATCTTTGAGTTTTATAAAGAATGCCAATACATTTATAAGGAACCATGAAGTAGCAGATCACATAATAAAATATGCAACCATGAAGCTCCTGCTATAAAAATGGCTTTGATTGGTAACTTGCGGAATCACGTTTAAAAACGTAATTCCGCAGGATTTTTGCCAATAAGAAAAAGTTGCTGAACGTTAAAAAAATTCGAAAACGCAGACTTGAGGTTTGGTTTAAAAAATAACAACGAAAAATTCATTAAGTGGATAAGTGAGGTTTTGCTTGTTTTTCCATGAAAAACAAATAAAATTAACGACTGCAATAACTAATTTTTCGACAATATATTAACTCTTGCTTTTTTTTTGTGGAAAAGCAGAATAAGATTAATGACAATAGCATTTACTATTTCGACTATAAATTAACCCAGTAATTAACTCAACTTAAGCCAATACGACCATAAACCGCTTGACATTTGATGAAAGGACTTTTGTCCGGTTTATGAGTCAAACCTAGAATCACTAANTCGATGNANAATAGNTAGGTTCGTTCAAAGNGACCAGCAATACACTCTAATCTTATGCAATACCAATTCAGCTAAGCAATCAAGTGGGTTTAAGTTGTCACGATTAATCAAGCAATNAAAGTAAATTCGGTTTAAACAATTTNTGAGAAAGNCNTTAGATCAAGGGAAAGTATCTCAGGGATTANGTCATCTAGAACCAAGCAATTATTCAGGATATCAATTANGAACCAATCTAGAACTCAACCATAAAAATAAGAGGATCCACTGTCGTGGCATCAACCACTTAACAATCAATCTAACACCATAAACTGTCGTTTGAGATTACAAAGAATGATGAGCATTAAAAGTGTAGGATCAATTTGTTCACAAGTCGCCTTAACTTCGGGAAAAGCGTTTGGCTATGGTCTAGAATTGATCAGAACTTAGGGAAGAGCTGGTCCTAGTCGTTACTGCGAGGTCTTCGTTCTTTATATAGAATGACAGGTTTAGGTATTGTTGGAGTTGGATTTGTCACCAAATCCGGCCCACTAAAAAACCTAGTTTAAATGAAGAGTAAACATTGAAGGGATTGGACTTTCGACCCAAATCCTAGAACTGGCCCGAAATAACACAAGAATAGAGTGGGCCTTAAAGACAGGCCCGAGTCAGTTCAACGTGTACTCGGTCAATGAAGGTTAAGTTGATTAGCAGAGCGCGAGTCAACATGGGAGTGAGCACAGCCGCAGCTGGAGATTCGCGGAGAATATCCTCATAATGTGCCTGAGATACGTTGAACTATCCTGGATACGCGGAGCTAGATCGAGGAGCTGAGAGGGCTATAACACATCTTTTGGACCGGAGATAACTTTACACTACACATTTAGGTTGTAACACATCTCATTCAAGATCTCTTTGTATATTCGATTCATATCAATATAATTTTAGTTCCGCTTTATATTTCTTATTCTTTATCAGATTTATAGATATTTCTTAGAGTTAAAATTTTTTCTCCGAACTCACAAATAAATTTTTAGTGCGGAATTATGTTTCCACATGCATGTTACTGCTTATTTTGTTTACATAATGATTTTATTTTTACGGATGATTAACTTTGTTTTCTACTTTTAATTGATTAATTTTTTTTTTATAAATTATAAATTATTATATCATAAATCCATATATATGTGGAATCCTTAATCTAGTATATACATAAATAACATAATTAATATTTTGTACCTTTTTGTGTTTTAAGTTTCGTTTTATTATTTTTGAAAGTAATTATAAGTATGAATTTCAAAAAAATAGATATGATTTATATGGAACAAACTCAAGTCCAACAAAAGGCCAATAATATTGATTAAAGAATGTATGATGTTTTGAACATTGGGAGGGATAACGATGCTAGGAGAAACCATCGTTATCTATAAAAAAAACATTGGGAAGTTCAAACTTGTCTATAAAAAACTTCAACG